AGCCCTTGTCCTCTATTTGATCTCTCCCATAACTCATCATAGAAATACTAGACCCCACTTAGTGCTACAGCTCCTCGGTAGTGTCTTCTTCTCCAAAATAGCAGTGCAAAAAGAAGGTACCTCATTGTACTAATAAATTTTAAACTAAAAACTTGCATTTACATAAAAAACAACAACTCACTTTTCACTCATGAGTACTAGGGTCGAGTTGTTCAAACTTTGGATAGCGCTATATCCACCGGATCACTAGGAAACTGTCTCAAAAAGTATTGAAAATTGTATGCGATGGAAAAAGTCTGGTTGTTTTAAAAAGGTTGCTGTTAAAATTTGAATATCATTGTATGAGCTCTATGAGGGAACTATCTATGCACGATCAATGGAATTCAGGCTCGATGCGCGTTTATCGGCTGCTCGTGCAAGATTATCATGCAAGCACGATGCACGCACGATGGCAAAATTTAACCTGAGGTCCATTTAGGCATGAATCTTTTTATTGCATTTAACCTGAGGTTTTCTTTGCATGAATCTTTTTACAGACATTTTCCCTTGCAGGAATTTTTTCGGTTTTTCAGCCACCAACCAGAACTTTTCTCTCCTTCACCTCACCACTGCTTTCGTTTTTGGCTGTAACAGTCTCAGTGATAAAGTCGAGCTGTTTTATGCTTGCATCGAAGTGCATCGAAGGATCAGAGATTCGTTTTCTTTAGAAACCAAGAAAACTGAGATAAATATTTGTCTCTCAGTATGTTGCTATGGCAACTTTGTCCTTGGTACATGTAGGCAATGATGAAGGAAAATAAAATGGTGTCATCAGCAACTTGAAGAACTATCATTAAGGCAAGAGAAACCTTTCATGTCCGGTATTTTCACGCCAGGAAAGACTGAAAATGCGCGAGAATAAAGGAAATAGAATTACACAATCTCGTTTTAACATTTAGGATTGTGAGGAAATCCAGCATCACTTGTATTAATTCGCTGATTTTTTACTTTTTGGATTCATCCCTACAACTTATTTCTTAATAGCTATGCCAAGGCTACGAAATTGTATTGATTTATTATTGAAAATGTGCGTTTCCTGCTATTTCCGAAGCCATTAAATATCATTGTCTGAAATGCTCAGCACGCGCGTAATATCACTATAATACACTAAACCATTGAGGTAAGTACCATGCCTAAAATGCTGAATGGTGTATTGAAAGCAAGTAATAAGCTGACCATCGTTCCTTTAATTGCCTGATCTGTTTAATTCATTCAGTTTTTCTCTCGGTTGGGTGAGACATGGACGCTTCATTCCCTAACGAAATTTGTCTTTTCTTAAGTTTTAAGTCCAATTTGCAGCGTGCAGCTAGGTTCTCTTGCTGTGGCAGCTGATTGGACAGATCACAAAAACTCTCTTTA